TTAAGTAATTACTATCTATTTATTAGTTATTAAGTATATCTATTTATAAATTATTAATTAATATATAATATAATTAGTTATTAATTATTAATTCTTTAATAATTTGGTTGATAAGTAATTAAAAATGAAAACGGAAAAGAAAAATAACTTTTAATCGTTTTCTACTTTCTTCACAAAAATCATTCTCATTATTTTTTGTTTTCGTTTCCGTTTTCAAAACTTTTATTAAACAAACGCGATTTGTATGCTGTTTCCGTTTTCGTGCCTCAAAAGACATACAAAAACGTTTTCTAAAACAATTCTAAACGCAACCATAGTTGTTTGCTAAACAAGGCTCGTTAGAGAGAGTGAATAGAATGGAAAACCTCATACTTTTATAAAACCATATATACGAGTGCGTGGCATGGAGAGAGGGAATAAATATTTACAATTAAAGCAACTAATCCTACAGATAAGCAAATGATTATACATAAAAGTCCTGTAGTAAAGTTTATATAGCTAATATACAATTAGCACCCAATTGAATTGACTTTCCTTGAATAGCATATTTGGTGATTTGCTCATTAGTCATATATCGGCGGCCATGAATCAAGTGGTATTTTTTATAGATAAGAAAATCCCTCAGAAAAAAGAACAAAAAGAAAAAAAAGGAACAGGAAAAGTATTTCCCTTTTTAAAATGCTCTCTCTCAAGATTTTAATCTAACAAGTTGCTATAATTTTAGTAACTAACTATATCATCAAGGAAGAAAATAATTATATTGCGTTTTTATTATTAGATAAAAAAAACTTTACGAAATTTTTAAAGTTGAAGAAGAAATTACTTGGGTTGTTAGAATGACTTGAATAATGTAGCATTTTCCTAATCATTCAGGTGACAGCTAGAAGAAGCCCATTGAGGAGAGGAAAAAGAAGGAAAATGCTCACTTCCATTATGCAAGGGCGCTTTTCCAGGTACCACAACTCATTTGGTAAATTTACACGAGAAAGATGAAAGATAGAATCAATAATATTGGCTATTTCATATAACCTTTTTTGTTTCTTTTGAAATTCTTGCTTTGTTAGTTATGCTTATTTACAAAATTGTGATTGGACGTTGTCAGATTGTCATTGCTTGTCTAATTGATCAGAAGCTAAGAAAAAAATGGCAGAGACGTTCTTGAGTCCTCTCATTGAAAAGTTGGTTGGCCTACTTGCTGAAGAAATATATTTGTTAAGAGGAGTCCGCAAAGAAGTCAAAACTCTGAAAGATGAATTGGAGATCATCCAACCTTTCCTTAGAGATGCAGAGGCGAAATCGGAGAAGGGAGAAGTGAACAATGCTGCGAAAGTATGGTTGAAGCAAATAAGAAAGCAAGCATATCGCATTAAAGATGTGGTCGATGAGTACCTTTATCATGTTGAACAACATCGCCATGATGGTGGGTTTATCGGCTCTTTACGCAAAGGTGGTCACTACATTAAAACTTTGAAACTACGCTATGACATAGCTTCAGAGATCAAAGAAATTAAAGAGTCATTGCGTGAAATCAAGGACAGAGGTGTCGGCTATGGTTTAAGACCACTGGAACAAGGATCAAGTAGCAGCACAACTAATAATGAAGCACGTGACCCTCGCCTCGGATCCCTTTTCCTGGAGGAAGATGAAATTGTTGGTATTAATGGTGCAACCGAGGAACTTATAGGAAGGTTGACTGGAGGACTGTCCATGCGCTCAGTGACTTCGTTGGTAGGTCAAGGGGGAATTGGTAAGACAACTCTTGCTAGGAAAGTCTACAATGATGAAGTTGTGAAAGCTCACTTTGATTGTCGTGCTTGGATCACGGTATCTCAGTCATACGATATGCAGAAGCTTTTGAGGATCCTAGCAAGGCAGATATGTACTGCAGGGGAGAGAATTGAGGAAGATTGTTCAGAGGAAGAGTTAATTGGTCTATTGAGGCAGCATCTGCAAACAAAGAGGTACATGATTGTTTTTGATGATGTATGGCAGAAAGAGTTTTGGAAAGATATAAAACATGCTTTGCCAAATAAAGATAAAGGCAGTAGGATAATTATCACAACACGTAATTTCACCGTGGCTAGTTTTTGTCGTGAAAACCCTTGTGATCTTGTCCATGAGGTACAAACTTGGTCCTCAGAAATGGCTTGGCAATTATTTTGCAAGAAGGCATTTCGAAGTGATGAGTTTGCAGGGCGTTGTCCCCAAGAGTTGGAGCAATTGTCTCGTGAGATTGTTAGCAAATGCCTAGGCTTGCCACTTGTCATTTCGACCATAGCTGGTCTTTTGTCAACCAAAGAAAGAGTCGATTCCGAATGGAGAAAGGTGCTTAACAATATTAGTTCAGAGTATCAAAGAACTGATATTACGAAAATTCTCTCCCTAAGTTATCTAGATCTACCTTACCACCTTAAGACTTGCTTCTTATATTTTAGCATCTTTGGTGAAGACCATAAGATTTCTGAAAGTACATTGTATAAACTGTGGTCTGCTGAAGGTTTTGTTAAAGCAAGAAGCAACAAAACATTGGAAGACGTAGCCGAAGAATACTTAAATGAGCTCATCCAAAGAAACTTGGTTTTGTTTGAAATAGAATTTGGTGTTGAAAGAGTATGTAAAGTCCATGATCTGATGCACGATATCATCTTAACTAGAGCAGGTGAATTGTGCTTTTCTCAAACTATAAAAAAAAGTAACCTCAATCTTGTAGAAAACAGTTACCGCCTCTCAATTCATGATACTACAGAAAATGTCTTGGAAAGAGTTATGGATTCCAGCATTCGGTCGGTTTTTCTGTTTGACGTCAAGGAATGCACAAGGTCGTTCATGATTAATTTAGTTGAAAATTTTAAACTTTTGGAAGTGTTAGATTTTGCTGAGGTGCCTCTTGATGATCTCCCAAAAGAAGTGGGGAAGTTGTTCCACTTGAAATACTTGTGTTTATCAGGTACAAGGGTGAAAGTTCTTCCCAAATCTATTGGTAAGCTGCACAATCTACAGACATTGGATGCTAGGAACACCTTAGTGACGGCGCTACCGATCGAGATTACTAAACTAAGGAATTTACGACACCTTCGCATTTATTCAATTGCTAAGAATAGCCATTCTGGTTTTACATATTGCGGTGTGAGGATACGCGGTGGAATTGGAATGTTGGAGGAGTTGCAAACACTAGAGAAGGTGGAAGCATATCCTGATGGAGTTGGTTTTGTCAAAGAGCTGCAGAAACTTAGGAAACTAAAACGTTTGGACATTTATAAGGTGACTGCAGAAATGGGAGAGCCTTTGGGAGTTGTCCTCGAGAAAATGAACCACCTTGAGAGGTTAATTTTGACTTCAATCAACAAGGATGAAGTTATAAATTTAAAATGCATTTCATCGCCTCCTCCTTTTTTGCGTTATCTCCAATTGAATTGTCGACTAGAACAATTGCCAAATTGGGTTTCGGAACTTCATAATCTACAAGGATTGTCATTAAGTTACTCAAGGTTTATCGACGATCCAATGAAATGCCTCCATGCATTGCCCAATTTATCATACCTTCGCATGGCATATGATGGAGGGGAAATGCATTTCCAGAAAGGTGGTTTTCCAAAACTCAAGCAACTTAAGTTTGACGATTTGAAAGGATTAAAGGTGGTTAGAATAGACGTAGGAGCACTGCCTCTTCTTGAAGAGTTTCACTTTGGGCGTTGTGCACTAATGAAGGAGATGCCTTCCGATATTCAACACCTTTCAAACCTCAAATCTTTCTCTATTCATGACATGCCAAGGGAATTTGTGGTTCGTTTGCAACCAGATGGAGGCATTGATTACTGGAAAATTCAGCATGTGCCTTCCGTCACCTTCCATTATTACAATCGTGGATACTACAAGCTTGGTAGCTCTGACTTGATACAACATCTGCAGCGGCAAGCTAGTTGATCAACAATGTCGAGTTTCGTAGGTGCACTCCTATAATCCTCTTTGTAAGCCATTATTTTAACGTTATTGATCTCTTCTTTCTGGTTAGCTCTACCATTATTTTAACGTTATGAAATCAAATTGAAAGCCATGTTTTTTATAGACCATTTCAGGTAGTAACGACCCTAAAGCCTTGATATTTAGCTCACCAATTGCGTTGCAAAGTTGAAGATAAGAATATTGCAACGCTTGTTACATTCTTCAAAATTACTTCTAAGTCTCTCTCCTTTTTGTATGAAACTCGATGTTTAATATTTCTATAAGAGTTGTTGAATTTACTAGACCTTTTTTTTTTTGGGTCATCAAATCAATACACATTCTTCTTATGAAAATTGATTCACTGACCAAGATTAGTCAACTTTTTGTTGTCTGTTAAATTTAGCAATTAACTGGTTCTACAATGTCCTGTTATAAATATGAGAGTGTTCTTTATTTTATTATGCTTTTAAGAATTCAGTTTAAAAACCTATCTGGTACATTGCACTTAGATACAATAGTTTTCTACAAAATTGTTCTTC